TTCGACCTCATTATGGTGCTCGTTTTGAAATCAGCCTTTGGCTTCCCTCAATCGCCATTCTGTTATTATGGCTCAGTTCTGGTTATGGCCTTGCAAAGTCTAGACTCTAGAGTCTAGACTTTATCTATCTTGCAATGACGAATAACAGACGACGATTTACTTGCGTTAATCGTCTCTTCCATTTTTTCTTCCTGCTCACGATCAGACAACAGCAGTGACGAATGTCCCTCCGCAAACAAACGGATAAAATTCCTGCTTCATTGCGAAGACAAACAAATAAATGTTCGAGAAGGGGAACAGATGAATGAGAAGAAAGTTGTAGTTCTATGCGACCGAATAAATTCTACATTTGAGCGATTATTTCACTTCATCTCACAATAATCAACTCAACCGCTCTACTGTCTGTTTTTTTTGGGTCGTGTCGCTAAATCTTCGTAGTAACCACCACACTCTTAGAAATATACTGGAACTCGACATTCGCATTTCACATGTCATCACGCTGTTATTACACTGATCACCCTTTCTGCACTGAGGACGATTGCATGATTCAATTTTATTGAACATTCATATGAACATTTCAGCGAGTTGATAATGAAAGGATTCATTACTGAATACTGGATGAACTCTCAGCATTCTGATGAAAGCCTCAATGAATTGTTGATTAGGATACGAATTCGGTAACCAATAGATGCATGATCATCCCACTCGCAAACACTCCTCTCAAACAGACGTCCCGAAAAATTAGTTCTAAATTCTGTGTTATCCACAACAACAAAAAAACACCATATAAGTAGATTAACTACCAAAATCAGACTTCCACTCAGTCGCACTCGAACGAAATTTGACGACATTTATTTGCGATCGCAAAAGTGCTATGAAGAACATCTGTCATTACGTTCTCGTTATGAATTTCAGTCAAGCGAAACGAATCTAGTGTGCTATGAATCTTGCGGAATATTTTTAGCACCTTAAGAAGGCACATATTCAAGTGGATATTCAAATCGTAGATGCATGTTAGGAGCAAATGAAATTTTGATTCTTTGCATTAACAAGGCACACACATACATACTGAACTGAATCATTGAACATAATCCTCATCAGTCATTATGCTCACAGTCAGCACTCGACCCAAGAGTATATCTGTAATGAGTATGAGCTGAGCATTTAACGAGTCAGTCTCATATGCAGTGATTGAAAAAATAACAAAGTACCCTCATTACTCCTCAACTAAAATACATTCTTGTCCCAACTCAATCAACAATTCCCAGCAAACATTACAATGCAGATTCTGCGCTGAAAACATTGCAACATTTCTAGAACTAATCTTCCTCTGACACTGCATTACCCATTTAGAATACTGAATAGAATTTCATCTCCTTTGCTGCTACACTAGAAGACAATATCTCATTTTGTCTGAAAAATTTTTTGCACGGAAGAATTCAAAATAGTGTTCAGTTGAATTCATTTTTCAAACTTTTTCAAAGAAAACGGATTAAAGTTTTAGGACTGCTCATTACAGCCTTTCTAACCTCATATTACAAAGAATGTTTACAATCCACTTGTAAAAATGTTTCCGACGTTACTTTCATTTTGTTTTTCTCATCAGCAACAATTGAACAAGTTCAGGGCGACAGTAAACACTTCACCTATCTCATACCTCTGAAACTTTGCACTGATTAGGCCTCATCTTAAACACGGACTGCTCAATTACACGACTCCAGACAAGACTGAATAACAAGAAAACGAGTGTTCTTTGTTCGAATATCCAAAAATTATTTGATTTCAGGCTAAAGTAAGAATTTGATCCCATTTTCCGGTAACACTATTTAAGGATCGACCACCCATTTGACGTGTAGGATAGAAAGATTACAAATTCCAAGAGCTCTTTTCGGCCATTAGGATGGATTCTGCTCAGTTATGAAGTTTGTTGCAATTAGGTGGTCTTCAGAAATGCAATGTGTGATATAATTGACGACAAAATAATTTCTCCATTATATTCTCCGAAGAAAATGCTCTTGCTTTTGAATATAAAATTCAAAATCATTTATTTGTGTACATAAAAAAGTGATTCTATAAATGTCATCAATACAGAGGAAAATCTGCAACAGATCAATACACATTGATTACAGAATAAGTGCCTCTTGATATTTTATTAAACTGAACTAGAAATTTGTTGTGATCAATGCAGTATCTAACGACGACCTATCACTGCTTCGGAGGACTAAAATCATGTTTTGCCGGCTCTGTTGGCTCGGGTGCTGAAAACAAAAATCAGTTCACAATACGATCGTAGCAATAAAATCAAACCTTTTGGATGTGTTCTACTGACAGAATTTATAATCTGATCCATAACAGTTCACCGTTGTCAGCAATTTTCACGGCAGCTTCCAAAAACGATTTCACGGGTGATGGTTACGATGAAAAGAGAATGGTAAAGCCAAAACCCATGTAAGGGAAGAAAAAGAAGATTGAAGTGAAATTATCAGATTGAAAACAGATGCATGAGTTGACTGGTCTTACATTCTCGGAAGTTATACCAAGCCATTTGAGTGTGCGCGATACCGGTCCTTATGATATGCACTGTTTCATGTGGATAACAGAACGCAGCCATCGTCAGAAGACCGGCAGTTGGATACACGACTCGACGGAATCCAGATCTGAACATAAAAAGTTATTCTCAAAATGTGGTAAAGTCATTTCAGCAATCCATCAAGAACGTCTGCAAATTTTGATAAAAAATCCGTTTGATTCTTAGATAATTCTGTACAAATAAAACAATGACATCGAGAACTCCATATGGCCAGTAGCAGCAATCAAAATAAATGACTCTGAAAATAGGCAAAAAAGTTTCGTGATCGAACGCGAGTTCAGAAACCTTTTCAAAGAGAGAACGAAGCCGGCTAATCCACCCATCGTTATAGCAGCAGCTTTTGGCAGCAACGTACCCTCTTCACGTAAATGCTGTTGGAAACCTGGAATGAGTGAATTTT